TTGTGATTTGAGTTTTTAACCTTTTGGATCAAATAAATGTTGCCTTATTGAAATAGTTTTGGATGCTTTGTTTTATAGAAAGTTTACATCTTAAAAATGTTTTGCTTGTCTAACTACAGGTGATTTGGTATAAAGCGGTAAAGTCACTAGCATAGACCTTTTTGTTCCCACAGGCTCAGTCCCGGACCCCTCCTGACTACAGCCTGCGTTGGTCCGGTCTGGCTGTGACGGTGGGGGAGGTCCTGGAGCACGGTCTGCCCAACATTAACAGGACAGACTGGCATCAGTCTGTGACGGGGCTGAGCCAACGTCACATGATCCAGAGCGCGGCCAAAGCTCTGGCTGGAATCTACAAACAGAAACTTCCTTCCTGGATGGAATGAGGCTGATGAAGATAACCGCTAACGTTCCTCTCTTTGTTTTAGATCCATTGCTTTGTGCCAACAGAGATTATCTCAGTTCATTTTTAATTTTTATGATTTCAACTCAGTCTTTTGTTGAAGTATTGCGCTTTGAAAAAGTAAACAATTGACAATCAGTATGTATTCTAGATGGGTCACTGTCTAGTATTTTTAAAGCATAGTGCCAGTTTTCTGACACTGTCTGCCATGTAAATAAAAATGCAAACCCTTACAATGATTTTCATAAGTTGATGAATTGAAAATAAATGTACGTTTTCCCATTTTCCCCTAACGGTTGTTTTCTGACATTCAACATAGTCTGGAGTTTCCTCCTTTGCACTGAAATGTGCTTTCATGTACGATCTGGTGGAGCCAACAGAATTGACAAAGAGTTGCCTTCCAGTTGAAGCCTGTTTATGGTAGGATGATCCACTGGTTTAGATCCACTGGTTTAGATCCACTGGTTTAGATACGTGGATGACACTTTGGTAAAATCCAGCTAGAGGAAGTGGAAGCTTTCACCAAACACATCAGCTCTGTCGACCATAACATCAGATTCACCAGAGAGGACGCCGAGGACAACAAACCACCTTCTGGTTTTCTTAATGTTTTTATATTTCTCATGCATTGGATGCCCTAAAATTGAGTTTTGGTGGACAGAAAAAAAATTAAATTAAAACAATTTTTCCTTGTATGCAGACGCGATGTGCTACAGTCAGTGTGCCATGAATACATTCTCTGTTCAGTGGATCATTTTGCTATCAACACTATTTTATATCATTTCTCACAAAACAGTAAGAATATGTTTCAAAGTTTCCTTTTTTGTTCATATTTCAATCCGTTTTCTCATCAGTATGCCAGAGTTTAGGGTGATGCATGCTGCAGCGACAGGAAGGTCATTCTCAGCAGGCAGGTATTTCAGGAATGACTCCAGTGTCGTGCAAAGGTAGGGATCCCTGCCAGAAATGGTGTCCCCCTCGCTGGGAGCAGGAGCTGATGGCGTTCACTCCACCTCGGTTCCATAACAAGTACAACAGTAGAACAAAGGATAAAGTAATCTTTCTGCTGGGTGTAGCCTATAATATGTATACGTACGCTCCATTTACTAGTTTATTTTTATTATAAGAATGTTTGACAACAGTTTTCAATTAGTTTTTAAGGAACATGTGGAAACGAACCAGGAGGCGTTTGACATGATGCTTAACCAGACTGTTGGATGGTCTGTTGTTGGGCTGAGGGTGGACAGGCAGGCTGATAGGTCCTGTAAGGAGTCACCGGAGAGGAGATGAAGGAAACGGACCTGATCCTGGAGAGCGTCCAGTCTGGTTCTGTGGAGGACGAGAGCAAGGAGAGGTTAGAGGAGGCTCAGGGAGCTTAGAACGCTACCAGAGCTGACTGGCAGCTTACTCCAGGAACCTGCTCCGTTATAAAGGTCCCACTGACTGCTGAGTAACAGCCGTGGAAAATTAACCCATTTTCTATGTTTCCATGGCGATCATGTGTTGCGTTGTTACAGCCCACAATACAGCAACGGTTCACCATGGCTGAAACCAAGTTAAGGTGAAATTAATCAAATTAAAACACGGCTGAGAGGGAGTACAGTACGCGGTAGTCTGAGCAGCAGTAAAANGAAAAAAGCTGTGATTCCCACCTTCCTAACAATGAGCACGTTTCCCTGAGCCTGACCTCATCAAGGTTCAGTAACATCCACACCCACTGTAGAGATTTCACAGAGCCTCATTGGACCCGACAGTACCGCTTCAGTTTGCATGTTTTCTAAACCATGTTTTTGGCCGCTCTGTAAAGACTGGAACTAATTCAGACAAAAGCTTCCAGGATGGGAAAAGAAACATCTTCAAACTTGGAAACAAAGTCCAGTGGATTGATTTTGAGACTCTTCCCCAGGATCCTGTGAGGAAGCACAGTGCCGGCATTATTAGACCTCCACTGTTGATCCCTGCATTTTATTAGAGCGTCTGGAAAACTGGGTCAGTCTTTCTGGTCTGGAAGCTCAGGGACCTTTATGTGTCAGTGGGTAACTTTACACCAGAGACCACAGAAATCACATGTGGTGTTCCCCAAGGCTCCATCTCAGAGCCCCTCCTATTCATCAACCTGCTCCCACTACCGTGCATTACCATGGCACCATGTGGGTAAATCAGAGAAGAAATCAACCCTTGAATGTTCTGCCTGAATAACTTCTCCTCCGACGGACTCAGAACAGCTGCTGAGGACTGATGGATCTTCTTTAGTGTCAAACACGGCAGCATGTTGTCCAAAGTAATGAAGTTAATAATTGTTGTTTATTTTGACAGGTAAAATGTTGCTGGTTATTTTATTTTGTTTTCTATTGTGATTTGAGTTTTTAACCTTTTGGATCAAATAAATGTTGCCTTATTGAAATAGTTTTGGATGCTTTGTTTTATAGAAAGTTTACATCTTAAAAATGTTTTGCTTGTCTAACTACAGGTGATTTGGTATAAAGCGGTAAAGTCACTAGCATAGACCTTTTTGTTCCCACAGGCTCAGTCCCGGACCCCTCCTGACTACAGCCTGCGTTGGTCCGGTCTGGCTGTGACGGTGGGGGAGGTCCTGGAGCACGGTCTGCCCAACATTAACAGGACAGACTGGCATCAGTCTGTGACGGGGCTGAGCCAACGTCACATGATCCAGAGCGCGGCCAAAGCTCTGGCTGGAATCTACAAACAGAAACTTCCTTCCTGGATGGAATGAGGCTGATGAAGATAACCGCTAACGTTCCTCTCTTTGTTTTAGATCCATTGCTTTGTGCCAACAGAGATTATCTCAGTTCATTTTTAATTTTTATGATTTCAACTCAGTCTTTTGTTGAAGTATTGCGCTTTGAAAAAGTAAACAATTGACAATCAGTATGTATTCTAGATGGGTCACTGTCTAGTATTTTTAAAGCATAGTGCCAGTTTTCTGACACTGTCTGCCATGTAAATAAAAATGCAAACCCTTACAATGATTTTCATAAGTTGATGAATTGAAAATAAATGTACGTTTTCCCATTTTCCCCTAACGGTTGTTTTCTGACATTCAACATAGTCTGGAGTTTCCTCCTTTGCACTGAAATGTGCTTTCATGTACGATCTGGTGGAGCCAACAGAATTGACAAAGAGTTGCCTTCCAGTTGAAGCCTGTTTATGGTAGGATGATCCACTGGTTTAGATCCACTGGTTTAGATCCACTGGTTTAGATACGTGGATGACACTTTGGTAAAATCCAGCTAGAGGAAGTGGAAGCTTTCACCAAACACATCAGCTCTGTCGACCATAACATCAGATTCACCAGAGAGGACGCCGAGGACAACAAACCACCTTCTGGTTTTCTTAATGTTTTTATATTTCTCATGCATTGGATGCCCTAAAATT